GCCAAATTTTCGCATAATCTAAGCCTTGTCTGTGAAACCGCGCATATATTTTCATATATTTTTGTTGCCAAACCAAGTTATTAATTATTAAATCAGCGTTATTATTAAAGTAAAATGTTAACATAAGTGTTATTATAATTACAATGGTATTATAGGTGTTATAATCTGGCACAGGGTCATGATGACAACCAGCAACATTTTTAAAAAAAACTACAAATGTGTACAGCAAACTATTGCACAAAGTGATTGAGTTCATAAATATCTTTGAATGTTACTAGAGCACACTGAAATTTGTCAGGTGAGCAGTAAAAACTAAACAAATATTCCTCAAGGCAATATACTGATATAAAGGGAAAACTGATTCTTTGTTGTGCTGAGATAACGTGAGCGAGCACGTGTGTGAGTGAGTTTGCGCAATCTTTTTATTTTTCAAGTCACTCAGGTTTGTTTTGTTTTGTTGTGGAAGTAGAAGTAAAAGAACATGGACGGTTGCTCAATATTTTCCCTACAGCTAAACATGCCCCATGTGGACTGAAATGATGACCTCATAGAAATGAGATCCATAATGTGTGATTCTACTCTATAAAAGGCTAGAAAGGCAGGGTAGAAGCAAGTCGACCAGATATTATGTTCCAAATAACCATCCTGTTCCAAATAACCATTTTTTCTTTTTTTTTTTTTTTTTTGCTGGTCCAAGATAGTCGACCAGGGCTTTCAACATTTTCATGCAGATTCTGAATAAGTACCTATAGATAATATATCCTGAATAAATCCTTGTTTGTTAACTCGCCATAAACAACCATGACACAGAATCCATCTTTAAAAGCACGTTAATGCATTTATCAAATCGCATTATATTGAGTGCCTTATTTCGTATTATATCGACATAATCTCTCAATCATTAAAGTTGTTCAGAAAAGTTATTCAGGAATATTTTTCTCACCTTATCCCCAGGAGACCAACTTTCTGGAAAACATCAAAAACAATAGCAAAGAGAAGAGGTCCTTAAAAGTAAATGCGATCAAACAAATCCGGTTTGTTTCTGAAAAATAGCTCCATAAGCATAAGCACTTGTACTGTCACTGCGAAGATTTCTTTGTTAACGTCCGTCTCATAATAGCTCTCTGCGTATTCTGGCACAAAGAAAGTACACACAGCTTAAGCCTAGTTCACACTACATGATTTTAAAATGTCGGGCTGAACTGTGCAGTTTACACTACATGACTTGCTCTCAGTGAAATCATGAGTATTCAAGTTGTTTAGCTGTTCACACCACACAACACAACGTGATTGATCCACAACAGGAGGTAACTCACTACACGAGTTAACAACGCACTACATAGAGATACAACCACGATCGGATGATAAGAGCATATCATTTGTGACTCAATGAGAGCTGTTTCAGTACTATAGTATACGGTCTAAATCCTGAAAATAATCAAACAAATAACGAGTTGACAACAACACGATTCTATCTGGTCTAGAAACCATGTTTTGTAACGAAAAACCACGCAATAAAACGAACCAGAAATGACGCGAAACTGCAGAGAAGAACACAACACGCGAATATGGACGTCAGACAGAAACTAGTGCTGCACACTGTTTGCTCGACGATCTGCTCTGAGAAAAAAAAATGCAAAAAAGAAAAAGTAAGATTTACCTGGTGTCCTCAACCCATGCGTTGCTATGATTGGCTGTACTCATGACATCACTGAGATTGAGTCGCGCGACTGGGCGAGATATCTAGCATGCTAGATATTTTTCTGAGCTCGGTGACCTGTCTGCGAGCTGTCTGCGAGCTGTCTTTGATGCGTTGTTGGCTCTTTCACACTAACTGATTGGCGAGCGTTAATCGTCCGCTAATCGCCCGCGATTTGCACGCGATAACACCCTGACTTGTCGGCGACTCAACGATTTGCAAATCGGGCTTAAATCGGGCTTAAAATCACGTAGTGTGAACTAGGCTTTATAGTCTTCTGTTGTGTCAGCTGTTCTGCAGGGTGTTTATGGGGAAATGTAGTTCTGGTGGCGTATCACCATCATATCACCAGTTCTTCAAACCAGCAAAATAACATCATATCCCAGAATTCCTTGCGGGAGAATTTCCATGTGGCTGGCCGTTGTTTGCAAACAAAAACGTGATAGACAGTATATGTGTCATGTTGTTGTCACGGCAAAATAAAACTGCCTTTTCAAGTGTAGCCAATGTTGTTTGACGTTATTATACATATTACTGTGTACTACAATTACTAAGATTTAGTTATTTAGTCATGTCTCCCTTACATTGTAATCCTTTGTGTATATATTACATTGTTTTGTATTAAAAGGCTGATGTTGATATTGCGCTCGTTTCTTTCTGTAACTGTAGAAAGCCGACTTGATAAAAAAAAAAAAAAAAAAAAAAAAAAAAAAAACTACAGAAACGGGAAAACACCGTCACGCGTGACTAAACTTGATCTAAATTTCGATGATATGTATGCAAATAATAATAGGAATGTAATGTGAATGGTACGAATTGCGATCTATGCAAATAAGTATAGCAATATTAGTTTAAAAAAACATTTTATTTAGTGTAATAATTATATAGACAAAAATTCGCCAGTATAACAAGTAGAAATCACCTTTAAAAAACTGTATTAATATACCGCCATCTTGTGGTTGTTTTATTTATTGTTGTGTTTTATGGTTTTATGTTCGACGATAACAGTACAGTCAAACTGTATATTACAAAAATGTATTATACTTATCGCAATAATATGGATTAATATGTATTGGATTAATTTCCATTAGAACCATATTGAATTTTGCAGCAGTTGACATTTGTGAAGTTCATCAAAGTTCATTTTCAGGCGAACACGGGAGAGAGAGAAAGCGCGCAATGTTACCACTTAAACTTCTTAGGTAAGTGTTATTTATTCATTTTCAGTAGCTTTCAAAAAATCAGACGTATAATAACCATTTTAACTTAAGCCTATAGGTGCCCGGTTAGTCTCAATATGGCTCTGGTCGCCCTTATAGTTACAATGGTTTACAGCCTTTCAGTCGAACTATTACACAGTCACTGTAATAAAATATAGCAACTTGGATTCAAAAATAAAATAAAATTAGCGATTTTCAAAACCTTAGTCTTCGTGTATCCACTATAGGGTTTTTTTTTTTTTTTTCCCAACAGGCGATGTCACAGGCTACTATGAATTACTAGGCTAAATCTGATGTGCAAGACTCTGAACAAAGCATATGAAGGCTGGGAAATGACTTAGTATTTTTTTTTTATTGATGCGGGTCTAGAAATAAAACGTTTTAGTAACAAAATGCATTGTGTAAATACCATCAGTAATATAACAACACCAAAATAAACTACAACTTTTTGAATATTCACACACATTCTCATGCATTACATATTACTTTCCTCTTGTGAACAAAACCACAGTTGAGGATCGTTAGAGCTATCAAATGTAAGGTTAACTGAATGTGTTGATTAAAAGCTCAACAACACGCTTTCAAATGTCTTTTTCTCAGGTAAAATAAGCATCTTTATAGCACAGGTGTGATAGTTCTTGGCCTATTCAGCCGAAAGAACTGGAACAGCACGCCGCACAGTTCTCTATAGCGAAGCCCATACAGGTACGGAGCTAAGGCTTTGGGTAGGATGAGTAAGACGTTACACACAACCAGGGACATCCACAGGTTTGCTCTGAGGTCCAGAGTCGCACTATTGTAGAAAAGCATCAGCTCGATCTCCAAAACCAGCAGGGGACAGAAAGCCAGGAACAGGTGGAGATAATGGATGAGAAATGTTCCTTTAGCACGGGACGAGGCTTGGCCCTTCCACACACCTGAATTACGTGTATAAAAGTAGAGGATGAGGTAACCAGACAACACCAGGAGGAGGATGAAAATGATACCGGTGACTGTCAGCAACATTGAGACATAGAGTGGGTGAAAGTGGCTAACAGTCAAAACCATCAGCAAAGGCAGGGAGCAGATGTGGAGGGCGCAGGGGGCCGTACTATGGTACCACAAAAACATGCCAACAGCTGCCGCAGGGAAAAAGACTGAGACGACCCAGATGGCAGCAACTGCTCCGTAGGTTCGCGACACGGGCCACACTGCCAGGTAGCGAAGGGGTGCTATTACAGCAAAGCAGGTATCCATCACCATTGCTGTGATACTAAGTACACCAGAACTGTACAATACCGCGGATAGGAAGAGCAACATGGCACACGGCCACTCTGTCATCAACACACCAGATAAGTTGATGCAGCCACTAAGAATATTCATGCAAACAAAGAGCAGGTCGCTGAAAAGAAGATTGGCCAGGAGGAGGAAACGCGTCTGCTGCCGCAAGTCAACGCGGGACAGGATGCGTATTAGAAGAACCGGAGTGGTCAGCAGAATGGCCAGGAAGGCCAAAATGGGGCACATCTCAAGCACTTTCATGTGGTAGGGAGGGATGAATCCATGCCACTCGTGCGCAAACATCTCCGCTTGGCTCTCAGAAGAGTTGGAATCATTCGAGGAACGTCTGTGAAGCTCAGCTCGACCAGACCTGTTGTACCAATTGCCAAATGAACAAAGCAGAGATATAAAAAGGTCTTCCTCAGCTAGGTAGAAAAGCTTAGACTTTCCCTCCATCAGAGTTTCCATCTCTTGGCACGTGTTTGCGCGTCCAATCCAAGGCAAAAAGAGCGACGGACAGGTAAATTGGTCTCTCCTCCTCTCTTCTCGCTGACTGTGTAAGTGATTTAGGGGACAGGTCTGTCACAGACAGGCTTGTAGATGGTTTCCGTGGAGACGGAGAAACGGGTAAATATCACTTCACAGCTAAAAGGATGAGAATGAGACTGGGATTTTGCACCAAGGCATAAATATTGATATGTCTTCCTAGAATCAGGACTATTGCGTAACATTTACACTGTTATTTTTGGACTGATTGTTTAACTTGGAGGACTAAGTGCCTCAGGTTAAACATTGAATGCATATAGGAAGACACAATCATGTAAAAATCCTGTAATGTAAATTTATTTATCTTAAGAGAACAAAACAGCACTATCGACCAGTACTTACAAGAGTTTGAATCAATATTGTGGTCATGAATAATAACATACAGTATATTGCTGGGAGAATCTCACAAAAAACTGTCAAGAGATGTCCTTAAAAAAAGAACGATATTTTGCATGAAAACATCTAAGCCTGTTTTGTTTACATATGAGAATGGCATGCAAAACAATCTTATTGTCATTATGATGATTATCCTGTACACACACCCACACATATATACATACCGAGTTTTGTTTCCACATGAAGACGATGAGAATTTGGGGAAATTGTGCTCAAATGTAATGTCATATTGCTAAATATTAGGGTAATATTAGAATATGTATATTAAAATTATATATAGAAATATTAGTTTTTATTCTGAGTTTTGTTTCCACATGATGACGATGAGAATTTGGGGAAATTGTGCTGAAATATAATGTCATACTGCTAAATATTAGGGTGATATTAGAATATATATATATATTAAAATTATATATAGAAATATTAGTTGTTGTTTTTTTTACCTTTTTATTTTGGTGTAAAATCTGACCTGGACATTTTGAGATATTGAGATTCACCCAGTTGCACTTGATATAGTTTTATTATAATGAATAACGGGATTCGCGCATTTAACAGCATTCAATGTTTAGTTTACAAATGTAAATAGAAAAAGATTTAAATATGTGATATTTCATGTTAACAGTTAAAATGCTTTAATATAATATTAATACGAAATGTTTCTTTTGAGATCTCTTTTTGGCTCAGGAGTTATTGATAATAATATTGTGGTCATAAATAATAACATACAGTATATTGCTGGGAGAATCTCACAAAAAACTGTCAAGAGATGTCCTTAAAAAAAAAAAAGATATTTTGTCATTATGATGATTATCCTGTACACACACCCACATATACATACTGAGTTTTGTTTCCACATGATGCCGATGGGAAATCGTGCTCAAATATAATGTAATATTTCTAAATATTAGGGTAATATTAGAATATATATATAGAAATATTAGTTTTTATAATGAGTTTTGTTTCCACATGATGATGATGATGAGAATTTGGGGAAATTGTGCTCAAGTATAATGTCATATTGCTAAATATTAGGGTAATATTAGAATATATATATATATATATATTCAAATTATTTATAGAAATATTAGTTGTTGTTTTTTTACCTTTTTATTTTGGTGTAAAATCTGACCTGGACATTTTGAGATATTGAGATTCACCCAGTTGCACTTGATATAGTTTTATTATAATGAATAACGGGATTCGCGCATTTAACAGCATTCAATGTTTAGTTTACAAATGAAAATAGAAAAAGATTTAAATATGTGATATTTCATGTTAACAGTTAAAATGCTTTAATATAATATTAAAACGAAAAACATTAAATGTTTCCTTTGAGATCTCTTTTTGGCTCAGGAGTTATTTAAATTCACTCTTCTGCAAATTAATCCTCCAAAACTTGTTATTTTGCATGGTGACTCTGCTTTAGCTTCAAGTCCACTCTTCTAGGCTGCACTTCCCTGACTCTGATGTCTCTTCTTCCACAACACCTGCTGGACAGTCTCGTAAATCTCGCGATAGCGCAATATGTACAGGTAAGGAGTGCAACAGCGTGGCAACAACATCAGTACGCACATATTCACCAAGTTAATCAACACTCCCACCACATTATCCTTTGCTTCTTGCTTTAAAAGAGCCAGCTCGATTGCAAAAACCAATGCCGGTACAAAATACATTATGAGCAACAGAGCGTGTGCCAAAAGCGTCATACGCGCCCGGGAATAGCGACTACGCCATATCCCAGAAGTCTTGGTGATGACGTAGAGATGTATGTAACAGTACACAATGAGAGCAGTGCAGAGGCTGATGGCGATGATGAAATACAAATGAACCCCAACGCTCATTTCTTGCTCCAACGAGTGCAACGCAATCAGCATCAAACACACTGGACGCCTCTGATGGTTACTGCCCATCTCCATCTCAAACAGCACTAACAAGGAGACCGGACACACTGCGACCATCACCCATACGCACATGATTATCTTCTTGGCCCGAGATGGCGGGAGAATCTCTTTGTAACGTAATGGCCAACGCACAGCCACATACGTGTCGACAACCATCAGTGTGACCGTGATCACAGAGCAGCTGTACGTCATTACCATGCTCACCATCATAAACTCACACAGCGAGTAGGGCATGTGCAGGCCTACAGAGTTGCAGGAGACCATCGCAAGGTTTATGGTGAGGAAAAGCATGTCGGCGAAGAGCATGTTTGCAAGGAGCAGGTAGCGGTTCTCTTGGCGTAGCGAAGGATAGCACAGTATGCAGATGGACAGAATGGGGTTGACCAGCATTGTGACCGAGGTTAGCAGAACCGTGGGGATGAGGAACAGATTCATATGTCTGGTGTCCATTATTCTGTACCACTCCACAGAGATGTTAACAATGAAAGTCATATTTGAAGTCCAATGACGCGTTACTCAGAGAAAGCTTTTGGGGTGAAGAACAATTGCTCCACGGTATGCTGAGACTGGAGCACATACAGCTTCTCTACCTACAGAAAACAGAAAAAAAAAAAAAACATGAGTACAGAAATATGTACATCACCATACACACCTGTAAACGTAGGATGAGGCTGCAAAAATATTGAACGTTCTTCAAACAAATGCAAATTCAGTTTCATTTTTTTTTTTTGTAAACCAGGACCAGAAGTAAAGACAATACAAGAAATATTCAAGACGCATCCTGCAAATACACTGTCCAATCAAAAGCTCTATAGAATAAGAAAGTCTATCTTAATATTACAGGCAATTTATCTTAATCTTATCAGAACTGTCTTCCCGACCCAAGAGTGAAAACTCTTTTACTCCTCATGTTGTTCCAAACATGTGACTTCTTTCTTCAGTGGAACATAAAAAAGCTATTTTATATATATATATATATATAGTATACAGTACTGTGCAGAAGTCTTAGGCACACTAGTATTTTCGCCTCAAAGAAATGGTTTTAAGCCAGTTATTTATATATTTTGTTGTAGTGTCTCAGTAGGAAATATCAGTTTACATTTCCAGACATTAATTGTGCCATTAATTGTAATAATCCAGTGAAATGTTTGAATGCACAAGGATTCTGACAACAGCCAATGCTCCACACGGAGGTCGGATCTCACCATCCTCGAGTGCATCTGAAATTATATGAAGAAACAGAAAAGACTAAGACCAGAAGAACTGGCTTATAAATAACTATATAAATAACTGGCTTAAAACCATTTCTTTGAGGCGAAAATACTAGTGTGCCTAAGACGCACAGTACTGTGTATATATGAAGAGTTCAGATGCAAAAGCCTCTAAATGCCATTTGAAATTTTCTTCTAAAATGACCATTTTTATCAAGCTTGTATATTTAAGTTCAGTAATTTCACTTAAATGACAATTAATAGGTAATCTTCATTGCCATTTAAGTGAAATTACTGCACTTAAATATATAAGCTTGATAAAAATGATCATTTTAGAAGAAAATTTCAAATGGCACTTAGAGGCTTATGCATCTGAACTCTTCATATATATATATATATATATATTTACATTACAATGAAAAAAACTCAATGGTCACCCAAAAGTAGGTACCTACATTCTTTAAAATATCTTTGCTTGTATTTCATGGGAGAAAGAAATGCATAAAGTTTGGAATAACATGAGGGTGAGTAAATGGTGACTGAATTTTCAGGTTTGAGTCAACTTTCCTTTAAATGGTTAATATAGCCTGAATTAATCTTCCAGTTTGTAGTTTCTCCAAAAAATTATGGATAAATGTTACATTAATCATAAAAAACTAAAATCGAACCATTTTCTCCATTCTCTCAACACAAAATTTGATAAACACAAGTTGTTGTTTTTTTGTAAATCATTGTAATGTCTATGAATTTCTAAGCATCTCATTCCAGTCTCTAGTAAATGGACCTGAATGATGAACAGAGAATAAAAACAAATAGTCCAAACAATATACCTCTAATTAGAAAAAGTTAATTCGATTTTCTTGCAAATTCCTGATAACACTGCATTTTTTTTTAAAAAAGAGAAAGAAATGCACAAAATGGGTGAGTCCATCTTTTCATGAAAACATTAAGACACCAATTTAATGTATACAAACATACTTTTGAGTGAAACTGAATCAGCCTTATTAACCTAATTACAGTTTCATCTGAAATTGTCAGTCACAGTGCCAAAATGTTCAAACGAGTTAAGCAAACCAAATCTATGCAAATGTGTTGATTTTGTGCTAGAAGCTCTTATCTCTAATAACACACCAAACATTGTGACATGGCCGAGTTCCAGTACTATTCCTGATCCACAAAAACACTTCTGTTCGTTAGACAAACAGTTCACAGAGGAAGAATGAAATATGGTTGTATCGACTAACAATCGATTAACTGTTAAAATGACTCGCGTACCTGTTCCACTCATCCACGTGAAGTAACCTCTGCTTCCATCCAGACCTCCATTAGACTAATGTCGCCCCAGATCAATACCTCCCGACTCTGTCCTTGTTATCAGAGAGCAGGCGTTCCACTGATGCGCACAGATCCGTAAACCATCGCACGGCACTAACGCTCTTTAAGCTCTCTATGGTTACTCAGCATTTGGTGTAAATTGTGCTGACCCTCCCCATGACAGGCCGTTCAGATAAACTAACACTAACACCGTTATTACCTCAATGTCCCACGACACTACTATGCACCTCATATCCGGAGCTAAAAGCTTATAAAGCAATAAATGAGATGAGGAAGTTTAAACAAACAAATAATTGACAAAAAATGTTGGCATGACCACCAGTCCATAAACAAATTATGTTTGTATTTGCATTGTTTATGCAAAACTGATACTATCATGTATTACTCAAAAAGAAAAAAAAAAAACATTGGTGAATTTTGCTGAATGAAAAGGTTTATTCATTTTGATTGATTTTTATACAAAACGCCTCATCTCCTGTCCTTCTTGTAACCAGTGTTCCAGTGATGCTTCCTCCTGTGCTGTCCGTCATCATCATCATCTTTATCCTCCCCTAACTCCTCGTCCTCATCACTGCTGTACTCGTCCTCCCTCCCTTCTTCCTCCTGCTCTCTCGTCATCAGTTTACGAAAAACATGGAACTCCTCTACAGTTGCCATGGCGACCTGCGTCAGGTAGGTTTCCTCTGAGACGCAGAGGACGTCGTTGAGCGGGGGGTTGACGATGAGTGTTTGGCCCTTCTTGTCTGGCGTCTGGTACAGTCCCCTCCGCTCCAGAAAACAGTGACGACACCGAAGCTCAGACAGAGACATCCGGAACAACTTCGCCTTCAACATCTCTGCTTGCCGCACACCCATACGGAAATATGCATACTAGGGGGGGAGGCGAGGTTTGAGTCAGTTTGCAACTAAACACTGCCCTGTGAATGCCAACTCACGAGAAAGCCATTCACAAGGATAGTTTACTATAAAATCACAATTCTGCTATTAAGTACTATGTAATTAGAGCAAGGGACAATTCGTACCTGAAATTTGTACTCCAGCTGGACCAAATCCTCCTCTAAAACCTCAGGTGAGTCTCTGAGGATGTCTGTGACCTGTTGGACGGTGAAGAGGCATTTTTCTTTGAGCAATCGGGACACCATGTTTACCCTCTTGATAGGCAGGACCATGATCTTGGGGTAGTGACTGATCATCCTCTGCAGACTCCCTGTGGACAGAGTTCAACTTGACTGGCATTCAAACTGGGGTCTATGGAGTAGTCCATTCATTTTTTTTATTTTTACAAAATGTATTTTTAACAATGAGAAAAACAAAACAAAAAAACAGTCAGAGACAATAGTCTTGTGGGCAGAACTCTGAAATGCGGGCGACTCCAGTTTGAATTTAGGCTCGTGGACCCCCCCTCCCCACAAATAAAGTTGAATTTATTAATCAAGTTTATCTTTTATTTTGATAAGGTAAAATATTACTTGATACAAAGTAAACATTTTCCAAATAATGTTTTCACACATTTACACCACCATTCTAAACTTTGGGGTCAGTAGAATTTTAATAGTGTTTTATTGAGCATTTATTCTAAATAAAAAGTAATTTTATAAAGGTCTTTAATGTCATTATTTATCAATAGAATGCTGAACAAAAGTATTAATATATATATATTATATATATATATATATATATATATACTGACCCCAAACCTTTGAACGGAAGTGTAATTTTCCTACCAGAAAAGATACATCACCTTCTAACAATCCCATCTTCCTCAGATGATTGATGCGCTGCTGTAGGTCTGCACCTTTAAGTGAATATACCTCTGGACACTTTTGCATTATTTTCAGGATACTGGAGGGATTTAATCCCAGGAGCAACAGTGCCGTCAGAACAGACGGAACATGTTTCCCACGGCTCTTCGTTGCACCTTCATGCATCTCCTCAGCTTGAGTTTCTGAGAAGCCCATTTCAAGCAAAGAGGACAGAGTGAGCTGGGTCACAGGACTGTGGGTGACCTGACCGGTGCGGGATGGATTCACATGAAGGGGCTCTTGTGTGGTGCAGAACGGCATATGACCTCTGCTCGCAGCCACAGGACAAACACGCCATCTCCACATCCATTGCACCATCTAGGACACAGAGAGAGGAAGCAAATGCTGTTCAATACATTAAAGTGTTTGGACAATAAATCTGAGGCCTGGTTTCACAGACAGGGCTTAGATTAAACCAGGATTGAACCTTTTTTAAAATTAGGACATTTAAGAAGCTTTTATAAACATTCCTTAGAAAAAAAATATTACTGGTGTACATCTTGAGACCAAACAGAAATTGCTTTCAGGTAAAACAGCTCAAACATGCAATTAACGTTACTTTAGCAGCCACTTATGTGTGTTAACACGTGTGTAAACACACTTATGTGTGTTTGTTGAGATGTAACTGTTGAGGGGCTATACATTATTTTTAACCAGATTTAGCTAAAAGAATGGAGAAGTTTTAGATGTATGAATGATTGTGACCTTGCACTTCTAATCATCAAAGCAGACGTTACTTGCTAAACTATTTTTCAGGGTTTTTTTTTTGTAACGTTGTTAGTACACAGATTTTCTAGCAATCACATGAACGGTTATAATATTAAATACGCAATTAAACCATTTGTATAATCAGATTCATCACAATTGTTACTCTGGTTCTCGGACTCTCTATGATACAAAGATAAAGTTGGCTGCACCGCGAGATTCGCGACATTTTCTTACAGCTGTTGAACGGTCAATCAAATGTGTCTAATTCCATAATATGGAAAATGTCTTTAAGCATTTCGTCCTCACCTGTTTTCTGCAAACATGCGTCCCCATATCTGTGCCGCGTCAAAATACACCCGCGCTGCAACAACAGCCAGAGCTCAAGAGTTCCGGATATTATTTCAACAGAAGACGTTATTATAAACTGTAATCATTTTTATTTAAGAATTCCTGTGACAGTAACATTTTCTAGAGGCTTTACAAAGCCTGTGAGCAATTTGAAATAAAACAAGCCAAAGCAAACAGAAATTATGCCAATAATTTATTCACAAGATAAATATTGCAATGTTAAAATTAATTAATATGTTCATTATTTAAAAGGTTAAAAAAATCAACCTAAAAATATTTTAAAAACTCTGAAGGCCTAATAACGCACATCTTAAAGCTCGGGTAACCCGAGCAATCTTTGTGCTCGGACAATCCTTGTGCTCAACACCTTTACAACAAACAGCAAGAACTTTCTACATCGCAGAATACCATGTTTTAAACTTCAATGAAAGGTGAAATACACAACACGTTTGATAAATACACTCCTATTCCTTCACCAAACACAGACATAAAACTGTATCTTAGCAACACAGATTGCTTCCATTCCCAGTCACACTTTCCTTTTGCTCTTTGGACGGACTAGCATCATCAAAAAGGACAGCAGCAGGTGGATGGAGAGTTCTGCAGAGATTGTGCATTAGTGTTCATGGTGACATTAGATGTAATGTCATAATTAGTTGGCCAGAATGCATTAGTGTTTCTTTCACAACAGTTCCTCACTCGTCTGTGAGGTATTTCAGCAGCTCGGACTGCAGAGCCGCCATAGTTCTCCTCTGCTCCTCATCCTCCTCCTCATCTTCATCTTCTAAAGGAGTGTCATCAAGATCGTTTTCGGGGTCCAGGTAGAGGATGTCTGCTCGGTGCACACATGACGAGTTGGAGTCCACATGCTCTGTGGATTCTGAGACAAAATCGTATTTTGTATGAAACCTTCAGCATTGGATTTCAAGTAAAATATGTTTGACTGAGCTGAATATTATCTTTTGGTAGCATAAAAGGCCATAAAATTAAAAAACTAAAACCAATACCGTTGCTGGAGGGAAAGACCTCTCCCCACGAGTACTCTGCTAGATTTATGGGTTGCTGTATCCACTGTGATTCCAAGAGCTCCTCTAGATTCATTCTCTGATCGACGACTGGGTGCAAAAGACCAGCCAACAGTGCATGCAACTCTAAAACAAGAACAAAGCAACAGGTTGTACAGTAATGTCACGTCTCAACTCGATTCTTATTGCTGTGATGAAGCAGATCTTCAAACCTGTAGAAATCTGGCATGGAGGGTGGAGTCGGGCCTGCAGGGTTTCTTCCACACTGCAGAATGGGTTTTCACTGAACAGTAAGGTGTATAAGAGCACTCCTAGAGACCACATTTCCAGCTCTGGACCCTCATATCTAAATACATCAAAAAACACCACAATGAAATATGGAACTTGCAGTCTAATATTTCATCTTTAAATGCAAGCACAGATGAGTGGACATACACATTTGTGCAAAATTCCATTCTCATAATTTTAGTTAAAATTCTCATCCAGTTTTCACTTTAAGTCACATACAGACAGGAGCCATCTTAAAAATAGTCTCGATAAGTCAAACCAAGAGCGTCGTGTTGAGTGATCTGAACTGTATGAAGTTCAGCGAACTTCTGAACTGTATGAACGGCGTTCGGGGATCGACTTATTGAGACTATTTTTTAAGATGGCTCCTGTCTGTATACGCGAAGTGAACTGTCTTTATAAAGTATCTTCTTATTAAACGGTCTGTACACTTATAAAGTTCTCAATGCTTCGTTTTGCATGTATGGACCCTCATTATGTTACTGTGTTAGTGTGGGGCTATTTTGAGCCTTGTTAGTGGTATAAACTAGCGATTTCTTTTTACTTAGTCAATGCCCCATTTACTAGCATTATACGCTAAACAGCTTTTAGAGATAAAACTCTTTACATTCGATTATCATGAAAACATCTCAGAGAACGATTGACTAGGTACAGATGTTTTATTAGACCAAAGGTTCATTGTTTGCCGGAGTTCTCCTTTAAGTTGAAATAGTTGCCAAGTTCCCCTTTAAGGGCATTGTAGTGATATCAGTTATCCTGTGAATGTGTGGCTCTTTTTATAGACATGAATAAATAACCCACGTGTTACCTGATCCTATCCTCTATTCTATCCTATCCTTATCAAGCTAAGACACACAGATGGAACTGAGACGGGTGTGTGTTGTTTCAGTACGTACGGGTTTCCCTGAAGCACCTCTGGTGAGCAGTACTCCAGAGTGCCACAGAAGACGTAGAAAAGCTTTCCGGGTTCCAGCAGGGCAGCTGAGCCAAAGTCGATCAGCTGGATATGAAAGTTGGAGTTTATGATGATATTTTCATCCTTTATGTCCCTGTGAAGGACTCCTTTGCCCCGCAGGTAACTCACTGCGTCTACCAACTGCGTACAGACACATAGAGAAACAGTGAAAGAAATATTCAATAAAACTTTACTCCAGAGCTCACATCAGAATATTATAGGACCACTGACTACCGACACATGCTAGTTCTCATAGCCTGTTCCTCACCTGTCTGAAGATGTAGCTGGCAAGAGGCTCGTCCAGTCTAGGCTGCATGTCGATAAACTCAAACAGGTCTAGTCCGTCCCCGTGTTTCTGCATAACCATTTGGAAGAATCCCTCATTCTCAAACACCTCCAGCACCTGCAGCAAAAATGTAGGGCACTAAACGTTAACCACAGAGAACATGCTATAATAACGATTGCATTTTCTCAGGATTCTTTGAATGTTCATTTATGTAAAATAGAAATCTTTTGTAACATTATAAATGTCATTATACTATCAATTTTGTTAAAAAAAAAACATTAGAAAGTGAAAATTTCATGTCATGGGACCTTAAAGGGAAAGGTGTTTTTTTTGCCATTTTGTTCTTCCGGTTTAAAAAACAAAGTTGACCCAACATCACGAAAAGTAAGGTATATGCATTATTTCGGAGTAGTGATTGGCTTGCGGAGCACGGATGAGAAGTTTCTGTGAGGAACACACTGCAACATTGGCAACGCAGATCACAGTTCATATCCGGACTAGAACAAGAGTGTTTCAAGTTTTTACAGACATATTTCTCAGTCTCCTGTTCCAAACACGGGGGTTTCATAACACTTTAATGGCCAATTTATTTAAGCAGGAGCCATGTTTGATCATTTTATTTTGGCAAAAACAATATATATTTTAAATATTTAACATATAGTCAAAGAGTTCTCCGAGTGTACCTTCACAATATTGGGATGTTGCAAACGAACCAGTATGGCCACTTCCTGACTGATCCGGCCCAGATCAGGATCATCCACCCAGCATTCACTCACCACCGCACTTTTCCTAATGAATTTCACAACCACCTGAAATTGAAGTGAGTGATAATAAATTCATCTCTTCAGCAGCTCATATAATTGTCCATAAATGATTGAATGGACCCTACAGCACTGACACTAACTCAGTGTGTAAACATCCTCTTTTAAGAACCCTGTCTAAGGTTTGAACAACTGACATCAACATTATCAGGTTATTATCTCTCAACCGGATAAATACGAGTGCATGGACAGCAGTGAGCGCAGAAAGAGTGTCACTGACTTCCTGTCCACATATCCGTCTTGAAGCGAGCCAGACAAAGCCGAAGGCTCCCTTTCCAATAGAGCGCAGTGGGCGGTAGTTTTCCTCAAAATAACCCTCACATGCTCCGGACTGCTCCAGGTCCACAGAAGAATGTAAAGGATCTGAACGAATTGCCTGAAGGAGAAAAAAGTAGTTGCTTAAGAAATGAGCTTTTTAAAGCCCGTCTTCTAGATTAAGTAGTCATGCAGATCACCTCAGCAAGGCTGCAGGCAAAGGCCTCCTGTTCTGGGGCTCCTGTCCTCACTGTGGGAGACATTGTGCTCTGTAGCGCCTCCGGGTGGTGGAGCAAGAGATGACTCCCACTCAGCCAGAGACAGACCAGAGAGCTGCCGCTGGACAGGGACACCCATCGCACATCACACTGCACCTCTACACAGAGTGAAAAAAAAAGATGCGGAAAATTACCTGAAGGACTCATGCACTGAAACATCATAAATCTACTGGAGAAAACATGGATGGTGCACATGGCATACAGAAAGAGTACACAGTGTGAAATGGAAAAATTAAGTACAGTAAGAGATAACGTACAGTCATTATCACAGAATAAGCCCAGGCAAGGTTCACCCTGAAGGGCTTTATTTTTGCAATAATGACTACAATATCCATCTTATTACATGACTACTTGCCAAATAAATAAATGGATAAGAAATGTTGATTGGAGTTTATATTATTTTATCATCTCACTTGTGGTTTACATGTCACAGCATGTTGAAGACTGTAACTGTGGGGTTTCAAACTGAATATAGGACAAATCCTATAAGATCATGATCAAGATCACTTTGGAACGCCACGTATGTAGACTGTACGACCCAAGTTTGCATAGAATAATAAAACGTCATTATCCAGGGTTGGCCAGTTAAGACCCAGCGATTTTATCGGGGTTGCAAAAAATAAATAAAATCCAGCTTCAAATCTAGAGAGAAATCACTTAACATGCAAATTGCAACTGTGTATAGCCAGCATGTAATAGGCTACTTTAAAACTGATGTGGGACATTAGACATGTGACTGCATCTCAAAAACAGGACTGGTTAAATCATCGTTCTTATGTATCATTGTTCTTATGTAATGATTGCATTTTTGTCTGACACAAATTGGTTTCCATAGACATAGACAAGGAGTCTTGGACACAAATGCAATCAATCACCGGTAGAGCTCCTTGGGTAGACTATAACCAATTAAACAGCTTATATATGTTGGGAAACATCGCAAAATAATGTTTAAGTGGTGAAGTTTTAGCACCACGTGCTGTCGATCAATACGGCATTTCCTGCTGCGTTTTCATCGGTCAGTTAAGCCATAAATTATTATTAGTCAATAGACATAGGTCATATAAAAACACTGAGATGAATCATGACCGTGCTAAATTTCTGACACTGTTAGAAAACTATTGCAGGCTA